ATATTTTTAATATTAATTTTTTACTTAAACTATACAAACATCATTAAATAATATAATTTCTTATGAATGTATTAACCCATACAACATTATTTTTAAATACTGTAAAATAAAATTTCTATGTTACTTCATGTAAAATTTTAAAATTTAGGATTATAAATATTAGTTATATACATGATTTTTTTTAAAAAAAGTTTATTAAATACAACAACAGTAAAACATTTAAAATGTCATTTTTTACCTCTACATAAATATATTAAAATCATGAATCAGTATAACCACAAAATTATAATAATTCAAGCAAATTTCCAATGTAAACCTTTAAATCTTTATATCTACACGAACATACGTTTTCATCTGAAGATAAGATATGCTCCTTTATGATATCACTCTTCAATTCCTATCAAACAGCACTACTAAATCACAAGTTATGAATTAGTCGGTCAGTCTCCTAATGATCATTTAATCACTCCCACCTGAGGATAAGTTTATGGTGCTGTTAGTAGATGACTTAATCAATCCTTCTGATGGATCCTATATCCTAAATGATGCAATACAATATGGAAATGTATTAAATATCTGTAAAAAGTTGTTTCAGAATAGAGAGAAAAGCACATAAAAACAACATAAGCAATATAACTGAATTTTGCTTTTTTTTTCCATTTTTATTTCATAAGAAAATGTAATCATTATCATGGATATTCAGTAAATGGTTTCAATGAATTCATAAAATGTTTTTTCTAGAAAGTTTTAATGAAATAAAAAAAGCGATTTCATTGGAGGAAATGTAATCAATTCTAGAAACTCATTATGTCACTGACTGAAAGTGTTTTTTAACATTTCTTTTCTATCAAACAAGATGAATTGTCCTTATAATGTGCATTGCTGTAGAATAATAAAATTGGTTTGGCAAAAATTATTTTTCCATATCATAAAAAAAAACAAATTAGAAAAAATTATACATAAGCTTGATTAAAGCAGCTGTTGTTCATTTATAATATATATTTAAGTATTTCCTTAACTTAAATGATTAATAATAAAAATACACATTTAAAAAAAATGACCGTAACAATAGTTATAAGGTTAATATTTTGAGAAAGAAGGATTTAAAAACTTTCCGTCAGTCTGTCTACTCTTCACTTTTGGCAACCATTACCGGGCAGACAAACACAAAGTATTGCGGTTTCTGTCAACAAGTTTGTGATGAAGTCTGCTCAAACCCTCAGGGCTCTGAACTTCCTCCAAAACCTACTTTACTTTTCGCAGATGAAAGAAAGAAAGAGAAAAATCCTGTGACAGATTTGCGCTGTTTGTAAACTGCTCGTAATCTACAGTCAACATCAAGTAAATTAAAAAAAAAAAAAAAAAAAAAGAATATCTTCCCCTCTCTTCCTTCTCATTCCTTTCTCGGAACTATAAACACGAAAAAATACTATTAAGGAATCACTTTAAACTATTATATCATCATTTGATACCATAATAAAGATAAAAAATAAAGTTATATCCTCTCTTAATACTTATATCTTCTACATGGATCTAATGGTCTTATATATCTGGAGATTATCCTCTTGTAAACTGGAAACGGTTAAGATTTTAATCTTGCAGTTATTAAATTTAAACTTCAATTTAGAAGTTAATATTTAATAAAAATTTTATTGGCATTTTATTAATGATTTTATTTTATTTTCTGTACAAGAAATAGATGCTCCCACATTTACAAGAAGACCACCTTTAATTTCTCAACCTACAAGTATGCCAAATAAAAACACTGGTATGTATATTAATATATTTTATTATTAATTTAATCTTTAAAAAAAATAATAATAATTTTGAATTGATTTAATTAAATATATTTTAAAATTTCTTATTTTTATACGCCAAAAAAAGAATCTCGATTTTATATTAACAGAATTAGGAGAAGTGAAAGATTTTATTACCTCTCTTAAGTATCTGATAGACTACCATAAATTGTGCGAGTTCTTGTCAATTATAAGCTTTACAGCTCGCCGACCAACAAGGATTGTTAAGCTTAGTGTCAAGTGTAGATTGAACCTTGAACATAGTTCATTTTTACTCCAGAGAGGTAGATAATGTGATCAATTTTGTTGCGAGATATCCCTAAAGATTACACACGTTTAAACAACTAACGATATTACATTTTGCTATAAATTACAGTAAAAATTGTCTGTGAAAAGTTATACAAAAGCCTTCACAATCAGAAGATTAAATTATTTAAAAAAATAATAATAATAATAATTCGAAAGAACTAACTTCTTTCCTTGTATTAATTCTGACTTTTTTCTTTTGTCACAAGGTTTTTTCTTTGATCGATACGAATGTAAATTTGACGAATTTATAAGAAATTTTATTGTTAAAAACCAGAAAATTTCAGTTTATCAACAAAGGAATCCCTAAAAATGTTCACAAATCTTATTAAATATCATACTATTACCTCAATCCTATAACTTTTATCTTCTTAACTTACAGATAAAAGCTTTTCTAAGCTTTAGTATGATAATAATTGGATAAACCACTATAAACTAATAATTTAATCGTTTAAAAATACATCTATAACGATCGATAAACTGTTAGAAATAAAAAGAAAAGGGAAAAAGCTACCATTTATAAGAAGCAAAGCGACTTTAAAGTGAAATACAGAAAACGAATTTGGACAACTTTTGAACATCAATTTATGATAAATCATTTCATCTGAAGTATTAGTCGGAAGAAAACCAATTTCTTCAGGTCATCTAGTAAACTGAAGTCGCATTAGAGGAAAGATGGCTTTTTAGAAAAATGGCTATTGAAAGAGAAATAAAGAGAGAGATTGCAGAATTGAGAACGTAACAGAAAGACAAGCTTGTCTGAGAGCTTCTAACTCGAAGTAAGTGAAAAGTCAGTATAGGACGATCGAATTTTCTAGCTACTTCACTAGAATTTAGACCTCTTGTCCTTTCAAAAATATCAATGGATTTGAACATGGGAATCTTCCCCCCGTTCTTCTAGTTACTATCTCTTTCCATTTTACTTTAACATAGAAAGGATAATGCAGAGGAAAGAAAGAAAGAAAGAAAGAAAAAAAAGAATCTTTAATTTTCTATACTAAATTAAATAGATAAAGTTCTGATACTGTTGTATTTACAAAAGGCTTTTCATTATCTCGTTGACTTATCTTTGATACGAAGTAGCAAAGGTTTTATCAGAGTCACACCAAATTACGTAATTTCGATCAGTTAATCTGTTAAAGAATAACAAAACGACGAAATTTTTCACCTCATTTCACATTATTAAAAAAAATTAAATAAATAAATATATTATACACATTTATTTCCATTTTACAGGTATAAAATGTAATTGTCTAAATTTTAGAATTCGATTTTTACTATTTTTATATTAATATATTTTAATTTCTATTTTTTAATGAGGAGATTAAATTGCAAATTTAAAGAAAATACAATTTAAAAAATGTAATTTTCTTAAATAAAATCAAT